TACACACACACAACACACACACACACACACAACACACACACACACACACACACACACATATATATATATAGGTATGTGTGTGTGTGAGTTCTATAGACAAAACACACATCCTAAGGAGTATCCACGCAATCGAAAACTACAATATAAAGACACGAGGGAAATCATGCATCCCGACAGAACCTTGGTGAATTGTGATCAAATCTCTTACTACATGCATACATAAAGTACACACAAGGACACATATGTTTCAGGTTTAATACGCAAGTATGTATACACATTTACCCGCCCATACCTCATCAACAATACGAAAGGGTGCGTTGGCCATCTGCTGGAATGACATGAGATACAGAATCGTAGACACACTACGCTCTCCACCGGACTGGTGGTGGGCTGTTAGCTTGTGCAACGTATCTTTCTCGCGGAATTTGACTCTGATCTCCACGCCGTAGTTACTGTAGTCATCGGGACTATCGTCTAAGACTACCTCGCCTGCACATCCGAGCTGTTCGAAGAAGCCCGAGAACTGTGGGAGTGTCGACATGTTCATGTGTTGTGAGTGTGTGGGAATCACAGATACGTGAAGTGTGCAGAGGTTTATGCGAGAGTACAAAATATCTTGAATTTAAAAGTGGTGTGTTGAGATGTTCACGTGTAAATTTGCAGATGGCGTTCAAAGACATGCGGTGCGTAGAGTTGTCTATTAACGAGCGTTGAACAAGCGTGAGTAACACCCCGACGACATTGTGGCGTGTGGAGTTGTTCGTGTTTTTATATGGTATATCGTTTACGAGATATTCGGTGAGGAAGAGTGTTCATATGAGAATGTGTAGATCGCGCTCACGGAATAGGAGGTATATGGTCTAGATAAATATGAACGTGAACCTGTGATTTCAGTCTGATTTCCAAATCATAGAGGCTGCAATGGTATGGGCTCTCTGCAGTTTGCTGTGTTAAACGTTTCTAACGTCCGTACGGATACAGAAAGTAATCCAGTCATCGCTTGACATAGTGGTAGACACACACACACACGCGTCTGTTGCATACACGTCCAATCTGATAACTACAATACACGGTAACACTCCCAAGAGTAGCTGAGCCGCACCCACCTTGGTGTTGATTGTCTGGATGATCTCATTCAACGGGGTCAACCAAGCACCCTCCTTCTCCTCCTTGTGCTCCCGGAACTTGCCGCGCTGCTCGGTGAGTGATGTTAGTTGTACTTCCAACGCCTCAATTTCCGCCTCGCGTTCCTCGTATTCCCTCACCGAGTTCTCATTCACATGCAGTGTGCTGTCCAGATTGGCTTGGAGCTCGTGCATCTATACGTGGAATCGAGACGTAGCAACACAGTCCACTTTAGAACGGATCAGCGTTTAATTGAGCTTTGACGTTCCTACTTTATGCGAATGGGGTGTGTGGATTTCTTGTCTCTGTACTGAGTTTTCGTTCGTATGGTTAGTGCTATCACTTCTCATCTATGCGGACACACTCTCCTGTAAATCATGCCAACTATCCGGATGTGCGTAGAGCAGCAGCAGTACCAAACTGTAAGTCGCATTCACCTCCTACTATAACTCGTATATAAGATCAGGAAATACATTGGGTACCTGCCAATTCAGACCCTTTCATATGAGTGAATACTCAGTCGCACATACCAGCTCCTGTAGCTCGTGCAGGTCATCGGGATATGCATCGAGTAACTCCCGAAGTTCGTCATTATCGCCATTTCCTAGAGCCTTTGCCTTCTGAAGAAGACTGCGGGTTCTGTGAGATGGAAGAATGGATAGAGAACGAGCTTTGTTAATATATACTGCCAATATCTTGAACATAGTGATTTTGCACGTCTTTCCAGTGTCTGGCGACTTGTGCGCTCCAGACAGAAAAGGTGTACAGGACCATGAGTCACCTGAATAAGAGGTTGAACCTACGAGTTATAAGGAAAATCACACAAGCACTACCAACAACGTTTAGAGCCCGAGGTCTAGAGGAAGTGATGTGTACTGTATATATCTCTGCAAAAGTATTTATATAAACATAAAGCTATAAAATCTATGCTAATATATCCATTTACCAATAACACACACACATACACATGCACACACACACATGCACACAAAATAACACACACACACACATATATATATATATATACACACACATACGTATATCTATAGCAATATATATATACATATATATATACGTACATACATACATACATACACACGTACATACATACATAAATACATACACACATACATAAGTACATTAAATACATACATACATACATACGTACATACATACATGCATTTAATTTACACAAACAGCGACACAGGGTATATACATACATACATATATATACATATATATATATATATGAATGTATATATACATACATACGCACATACATACATGCATTTAATTTACACAAACAGCGACACAGGGTATATACATAC